CCGGAACGTTGTGAGCGATCAAACAGCCCAGAAGTCACAGCATCGGTCGCACTGCATGTGTTCGACAGAGGATCGCACGCCGTCCCCAAACACACTACCCCAAACCAGGGTACTTTCATCCCTTCCTCTGTTACGTACAAAACTGGCTTTTTTATCAGACTGCCAGCGCCTCCAATATAGCCACTTCGTACTTGATCCCTTACCCTCAACGCCGGGTCCTGTCAACGTCTTTCCCAGGAACTGCCTCTTGAGGTGCGTGTACCACCTGCGGTGCTCATTTTCTAGCTGTAAAGCACTGATTGTAAATTATTCTCATGGTGTTATTCGTTAAATGGGTGTGATCTTAGAGGACCTCCGCTACCATTTTCACCACAGACTCCAATACCAAGCAGGTATTTGGGCAACTTCCCACCGGGTAGTTCGACACTATCAACCCCCAAATCTGGACCATCACGGTTCAAACTGGAACAAAGTATTTCAAGGACTGTTAGTCTCCAGCGGCCCGAGCAAAAAGTCGTGGTTTACGCTCTCCGCTAGCGTTCGATGGCCAGTGGAGGCACACAAAGAACAGGTGACAACATGCATACAGCCGCTCGGATTAACCACTGCAAACTACATACGGGCCAGACTGATCCACATTCTCAACCGCTACTCCGCTCCAGCAAGCACACCGAAGAGTGCCAGTCATCCTCTATTGTACGACACCTCAGTCACGAACGTACCGTGGAGTCATGCAGGAAGGGGCTCACGCCAACCCATTGGCATCCCATGGCAAACAAACTCGAGACGAGTGGTAGAGGTCACAAGTAAGCAGCCACCTGCCAGGCTGAACTCGGCCAAGCCATGATGGCAGAGGGACAGGTGTCGCTACTCCCTCTCCCACGCCTGAATTTCTATACTCCTGTCGATACACACCGAGCTGTCCACATGACAATCAAAAAGCACTAATTGTGACATTTTTGACTTAAAGGTACCGGTGGGAGGTAATCATCAGCACCAAACACAGTAGTAGTGGTTAACGCTCAGGGACCAGATGATCGAACAGTCATCTCACTGCTAAAACAGTGGACAGATGATTGCGTCCCCAGTACTCAGTTGCGGACAACTGGAAGACAAACACTAGACTATCCTGCGCAGATACAAGAACAGTAGGAATCGGCAGGCCTCTTAAGTTGTCCAAATAGAGCTTACGCGAGAAAGTTGGAAAGAGGCAGTACCACTCTGTCCGGAATTGAGGACTGGGAGGTCAGTAATTATAACGGAAAGTAAATCGACTGCTGTCCGTTAACATACCAAAAGCGATGAAAGGCAAGTAACACCGCCATATCAGCAAGATTTAGGCCAGACTCGCAAAGTTTGTAACTGTACCCACGCCAGCATTAGCGGCAAACCCACGTGCCCGAATAGAAGAAAACTCGTCAAATATAATGCATTTGTAAGAAAAAGGAGATGAGGTAAAAAAGCACGTAAGACTGTCAGGCAGCATTCAACGTCCATAAAGTAAGCTGTTATTAGGCCTGCTACAAGTTCTGAGGAATCTCATCGATTTCGTGTGGCGTGAAAAGTTTCTCAGCACACCGTCCTCTGGAGAAGTGACCGTAGCCTACGCCTTCCAATCGGGCGAGACAGAGCCAACAGAAAAGGGCCTGGCAGACGGTACATTGCATCTTATTGCATCCATCCATTTTCTACAAGGACCAGATGACATTTTATTAAATTAATACCAGGAAGAACAGTTATTGAAGGCGAATATGAAATAAACCATCTTTGACACACACTGCATACTATCAGGCCGTATCGCAAATACAATTCAGGTTATTTTGTAGCTTATATGAAGCAGGAGAAAGGATAATTCGTTAACCTATTAGTTCCCGGTATAATTTGTCCCTGTTCTCTGGTTGCTGTATGTATGCACCTGGGTGTAGCCCAGAAAATGTGACAATGGGAGCAGAAGCCGCGAAGGCTTGGTAAAAATGGCCAAAAAGCCATGTTTAAAGGGTACTTTAAAGTAATGAGTAGTCCACAATTTAACATTCCAAAGTGTAAAAAAAGAAGTGATCATACACCAAGAAACATAAGGAAAGGATGATGAGCCGAACAGTAGAGAACAGGATGCATGAGCCCGAATTTTTAGCCAATACCTACGTTAGGGTGAACAGAGGACTCGCAATAGCCTGGATTGCTATCGCTCTCCCCACGATTTAGCTGATAAAATTTTAGTGGCTGACAGTGAATGTGGCAGCTGCTTGGAATGCTCAGGCGTCTACACAGTTGGTCGTGGCTGTTGTGCGATATAAGCGCGCTCCACAAAAGGCAGAAACAGTACCCGATCCTATACCCTACCCGACAGTGAACTTTCGACTACTAGGACAGTCGGCAAGGACTCCCTTATCATAGTTATAAGATTGGCACGATCGCGGAGCGGACAGGCGAGCATTTTGGGTGCGAACCCAGGTAATTGTCCCAGTGACATTGCTGTTAAAATTTCTTGTTCGCATCTTTCTCAACTGGTTGATTCTTTAATTGAAGCGGGAAATTTACACAGAGATAAAGTGAAAGCACTAGGGGACAAACATGATGTTTGATGCAAAACAACTGTAAAACAAAAGTCAGGAAATGAGGACCAGTAGCTTAGCTACATTCATCGATCTAACGAGGGTCTTTGACACATTGGACTCTGGAACATCATGATGTGGGAATGAATGTCCAAAAATTCTTCAGGCTCGTCAGACAATCATACAGTGGCATGATGACACATGTCACAGGCAACGAGTCAACGTAGTAAGTATTTGTAGTGATAAATCGTAGCCCACCGGGTTCATTTTCTCAACCATGTCGACGGACTTGGTCCGCAATGAGTATCTTTATATCTATACTAATTGTCGAAGCGATGGTAAACTGTTCAATATCCGGTGCATGCACACCGAGAGAGGATTATTCACGAGGGGGTCGCGGGCCTTATATTCGGCGACGACTGCGCACTGAGCATCAAGACAATGGCGGGTATAAATCGGAAGCCGGATCTTCGTGCCTCTCCATGCACCAACTTCGAAATGACCATCGATGAGGAAGTGTCAGTAATGTCAGAAATAGTACCCGATCCTATACCCTACCCGACAGTGAACTTTCGACTACTAGGACAGTCGGCAAGGACTCCCTTTTCGTAAGCATAAGATTGGCACGATCGCGGAGCGGACAGGCGAGCATTTAGGGTGCGAACCCGGCCAATGTACCATTGTCCCCGAGACATCTTCTTTTTCAGTATTGCTGGCAAAAATTCTTGTTCGCGTCCTTCTCGACTGGCTGAAGGTGAACCACTTTTACCTGGGATGTCTCCAAAATACACTAAAGTTGAAGAGACAGGAAAGGATATAAAACATCCAGGTCTTGAAAACGACCGGTGTGCCCACCATTTATGCTATGTCGAAGCATATTTTATCCCCATGGAACGACGACGTCATGGAGATGACCGATAAACAGTTGCTTAAGCTACCGGTAGTCATGGGCAGGTGAACAAAAGTGATCAAGGACTCCAAGAGCTCATTTAAATATCTGGAAATTAGCCATGTGCTGGGAGGCTTTTACGCAAGACCGTCAAACATGGAGATCTGCCGTAAAAGCGAAGGCAGCTGTCTTTAAAGCCAATGGGGAGCAGAAGCGATGATACGAACACACAAGAATGGAGTACCTCCGACCGACTCTCGCGACGCCAACACCACCGTTAAGGGAGAGGAAGAGGCGAGGAATAGCTTTTTCACACATACTTGGAGTGCGCATACCTATCCTAACTTCAGGACGAAAATGAGCACTCCCGCTTTGCCTTGGAGGGCGGCCGAATGGAGACTATCAATCAATGGCTGATACTTTTTACCGATAATGGCAAGGGCACTGGAAGGGCCGTTTGTGGCCAATTTGTCGTCATCAGTCAGTCCCAAGATGCATGCCCGAGGTAGGAC